TTTTTACCCCAAAAAAAAAAAAAAAAAAGTAGCACTGAGCTCATTTTAAGAGCGCTAAAGGACTCCCCGAAGTCCTATTGGTACAGCAAGAATGGAAGTTGTGAACAATTACTAAAACCACCTTTCATTCCCAAAGGCTGAGTAGAGAAGCCCTGGCCTCAGTGCCAACAATGAGAGTGTGTTCAACAGAGCTGTAAATCATGCATCTGGGATCAACACTAACCAGACAACTCACCCCAACCTTAGCCAAAATGCCATCTCACCTGAATCCCACAATGCAATTGCCTTTTTTAGTAACTCAGCAACTCTATGTCCTTATGCAGAGGAGGTTCCAAGTCTGGGAAACCTCACAGTGACCGAAGTTAGCTGGGATGCCTTCAAACTGGACTGGACCACACCAGATGAAACCTATGACCAGTTTGTCATTGAGGTCCAAGAGGTTGACCAGGTGGAAGGGGCTCACAATCTCACCATTCCTGGCAGCCTACGCTCCGTGGAAATCCCAGGCCTCAGGGCTGGCATTGCTTACAGGATCACCCTGCACGGCGAGGTCAGGGGCCGCAGCACTCAACCCCTTGCTGCGGAGGTCATCACAGGTATACGACCCTACTTCCAGACCAGAGATGTGATAGGAGCCAGGAAGTCACTGGATTAGAGTTGTGACAGAGCATCCAACCTCGATGTGGTTGACAGAGGGATGAATCTCCAACTCAGAAAAGCCTTGGCTAGAATCCATTTTACTGTCTGAATTTTCTTGGGTATATCACTTTATACCTCTAGGCCTTCTTTTCTCATATTCAAATGAGAGATAATATCCTCACTTCAGAATACTGTCATAAGCAATAAATGAATTCATGAACAAAAGTACTGAACAGAGTACACTTGATTAGCATTGAATAGTAGTTAAATATATCAATAACAACAGTTATAATGGAAAGTAGCATGTGTAGTAGGGTTGTGGGACAATGATATGATCAGAACTTTCTAGAGGAATCATATTCCGGATCTGAGTCACTATCTCTCTCCCAACTCCTAGTCTGATCTCTACAGAATAACTTTTGGAAATGGTGTAGTCAGTTTCTGCTGAAATTTTCAAGTCTCTCCTTAACAGTTTCTCAAAGCAAGAACATTTCCAAGAAAGGACAGCACATTTGAGTTGAGTGTTTTTCATTCAACTTGGGGAGAATAAAAAGCAATTCATCTGAGTTTGTTCCCTGAAAATATGCTGCTTCATCTATCATAGAAAACTATATGTTCTTTGTGAGGCTTCTAGAAATAGCTTTTAAGAGGGCTGTGGATATAAAAGCATACCTAAATCAGCCAGGTTACCATTGCCCTGTGTTTCTTGGACTAGCTTCAAATCAAACAAGACCAAAATGGACCTCTGAGACACGTATGATCTAGGTATGGGATACTAGTGATCTACATTTGTAAACTACAAAATTTTGTTTTTAAGCAGCAAACTTCTTTAGCAAATAAAATCTCCCTAGGAACTCCTCTATGTGACAGATAAGTAGCTGTTCTTGCTGATGTAGGAAAGAAGAGAGGGCAAGACTGCACCTGTCCCCAGAACAATCCTTCCAGAAGGTTCCAGGTGTGTGTAGGGCACAATTTGAAAACAGCCCCCTAAAAGGAAGAACTTGCTCAGATTCTCACAAAGTACCGAATCCTGGGACACCTGAGAAGATGGGTCCCCTGTCTTTTTTCTTTCTCCTTCTCCTTCTTCTTCTTGGAATGAGATCCCTGTAGATATTTTCCTCCCTAACTTCAAATCTGTGGCCACTTCTGCCTTAAGAAGAGAGGTTGAGAGATTGCATCTAACGTTGAACAGCATCTCACAAAGCAGTGGAGTTTTCCATGCTCTCATTTCAAGCTTTCTTAATAAGCAATAACAACTACATTAAATTTCCTTCCCATAGTGTAAAAAAACAATAATAATAATAACAGTGGACCCTGCTCTGCAGCATTTACTGATAACAACATAATCACTTTTAATTAAAAGCAGGCACACTCATTTTACATAAACAGCCTGGCTCATGAAGCAGCCTTTCTTCACTCAAAGTGCTAGCAGAAGCAAGTGGGAGGGGAGAACCAAGCCAAGAATCTAGGGCATGACCTCCGATCCCTGAAATCCAAGAAGTCTAGAAATAAAACATCATGCTCATCCCAAACTTGAGACAGCATATGCTTTATAAACCCAAGCAGACAGCATGTGGCCAGCAATGAAATGATCAAGCAAAAACAGAGCAGGAAATTATCTCTCACATGACCAAAGAAACTCCAAGGGAAGACACCTAGCAGTGGTGTTTACTGCGTTACCAAGTAAGACACGAAGAGGTGACCAATGTTGTCATTTAATCATCACACAAACCAATCAAGGGATTCTGTCAGCTCTATTTAAATGTGAAGAGAATGAGGCTCAGAGAGAAGCAGGTGATACATCCAAGAGGACACAGCCAGTAAATGTCAGTACTGGAATTTAACCAAGGCCTCTCTGTCTGCTTCCGAAGTCTGTACTTCTCACCATGCCCACTTCCCTGACCTTGACCCCCGATCCCTTCTCTCCTTGTGCCCTTTAGCTGTTGGCCTTGCCTGCTCAGGAACTTCCGGGTGGGTTGTACAGTGTTCTTTGCCATCTCAAGGGTGAACAATACAGCTGTTTTCTTTCTTTGACCATTTTCAGTTTCTGAAGAAAGCTGTAAAATACCAAGTTCAGCCTACATATACCCAATGACTAAGAATCACCAAAACAAATTCTGTCTCTCTCTCCCCCTTCCTCTATTTTCCTGGATATGGGCTGTGGGACTTGATTTCTTCATGCTTGATTTGCAGCACTGACAAATATCTCTCTGTCCTTCTTCAGAGGAATTCCCCCAGCTGGGAGACCTAGCTGTGTCTGAGGTTGGCTGGGATGGCCTCAAACTCAACTGGACCGCTGCTGACCAGCCCTATGAGCACTTTGTCATTCAGGTGCAGGAGGCCAACAAGGTGGAGGCCACTCACAACCTCACGGTGCCTGGCAGCCTCCGGGCTGTGGACCTTCCAGGTCTCAAGGCCGGCACCCCCTATACTATCTCCATCTATGGGGTGGTCCGGGGCTATAGAACGCCGGTGCTGTCTACTGAGGCCTCCACAGGTACCTTCTTCTCTACTTTCCATGCTTTCTCCCCAAGGTTCCCTGCTTCTGCTTCAAGAAATGAAATGAGCAGCCAGGTTCTCTTCACAACTGAATCCTTTCCATGTTCGCTTCTGCTGCTGGCCATGCATGCTCAGAAGCTTCTCTGTAAGCCGCGCCCTTGTCCAAAGCCTTACACGTGGCAGTAACGAGCATCACAGATGTCGCCCTTCTGCCCTCTAGTCCCCCAGCCTCTAGCTACCATACTTTACCTGGCCAATCCTATGAGGACATCTCCTCCTGATGAGGGTTTTGTGTTTCAGGAATCAGCCCAAAGGTTTTAATTCTTTTCTCCAAGTGCTGCCATCTAATGAAAATCATACCCTCCCCATGTGTAAGTTCTGATTTATTTACTTTAGAAAATCTTTTGCCACTTGGAAATGGTATTTTACTATTTTCAGAACCCTCAAAGGCATGGGGCCTGTGTCTTGCATCTAAGAAATGTTTTTTTTAAGATGCATAGAACAGAAAAAGAGAACTGAATAACCCCCCGCCCAGGCCATTCTGTCAGATACTGCGTCTTTGTTAGAACAGCAAATTAGCAAATTGATAAACCAAAAAGAAAAAAATATCCCACAATTATGAGTGGAAACTGCACCAAAGAGAAAGCTATTCATTAGCAGAGATACACTGAGCAGCATTTGAAGCAAGGAATGTTCCAGGCTATGAATGGGAAAAGAACTGATGGCTTTTTTGCTCTTTGAATCAAGATTTTCTTCCCAGAGTATTGGCCTTTAGGTGACAAACTCCCAACCTCACACTCAGGGGGCTTCATCACTGTTTCCCCAGCTCCTAGGCATTTTCCTGGGATCCTGCTAAAGTGAGCAGCCTCCCTTCCTCCCGCACTGCTTCCCTCTGCCCCTCTTTACAGCCTGCTTCAGTTGGTTTGAAGCTCAGTAGAGGCTGTGCTGCTTTCCATTGCATCTGGCTGCCTCCCTTTTCATATAATTATTGCAACTAAACTCCTTGTCAAATCTGCATCCATCCACATTGATTTAAAAGCATAGCTCTGCAATTCAGCCTATCCTTTCAGCAACCCTCATTGAGGACATAAAACCCAGACAAGCACTATGTGCACAGTGACCCTAAAATACCCAGAATTTGCATTTGAAGCTGCCCTGAATGTGCCCAGGACTCTTTTATCTGACATCCACAAACCATTTCTTTCCAGAAGGTAGAGAAATTACCCACAACTTCTGATCTTTCCTGCAGATCTTGTGGTTTGGAGGCCATTAGTATTTTTATGTGTGTGTGTGTATTTTTTCTTTTTAATGGTAGCAACATTCTTGCCTCTGCTGAGTTGGCCTAGGAAGAGGAAGGGCCATAGTACCTTCTGATCTGTGTCTCAACAAATTGGTTGAGATGGTCTCAGAGAGCAGGAGTTGTCTCCTTTCCTAATGATATAGCACAAGTTTTTCAGACCCTGCCCCTGCCTGCCTTCTGTATCTTTTATTCTTGTAGCTCAGAGAAGTGCCAGCAGGACCATCTCCAGCACAAAATATTATTTCTTGGCTAAAAGATTGCTTAAACTGCCTTGTTCGCTTAACTCTCTTGGTTGGCAATCCAGTGCTAGTCTTCTTGGCCCACATACATGCAATTACAAGTGGACAAGCTTTTTTTTTTTTTTTTTTAGCAGAGTAAGAGAACAGCTGGCTGGCCCTTATCTGAAGTATGAAAAAAGCACAAGAATTACACTGAGAAAATTTATTAAGCCCCTCAAGTCAAGTAATCAGAAGCCTCAAAGTAGCACCTTGGGAGGGCGATCATGTCAGAATTACTTAGCCATTGTTGAAACAGATGGGCATACCCACAGAGAAAAAGATGTCTGAGGGAGATGCTCAAGTAATCCTGGGCTCCTGGATGCAGCTCAAGAGACTGGAAACTTCCAGCACTCATATCTTTGACTGATGGCCAGAAACCTTGAGGCAGGGTTCCCAGAGACAGGTGTGGCTAAGATAAAGCAGCTCCCCTGACATCATCCAGTCTGTCTTCTCTCTCAAAGGATCTCTCCAGAGCTTGAGTATGAGTGTCAAGTACAGAGCAGGGAAATCTAATTGCAACACTTTGTTCTTCAAATATATCTCTTAACAAAACCCCTTTTTCTTCTCTCACTGGCACTGCTCAATAACACAGCTTTATTTTACAATAACCCTGACCTATCAGATCTTTCTTCCCAGTAACAGCTCTATTAACTTTAGTCTTAAAACACAGCCAAGTGAATAACACAAATATATTTGTTTTTTCTCTCCTACCCTCCCCCCCTTTTTTTTTGCAGCCAAAGAACCTGCAACTGGAAACTTAAATGTTTCTGACATAACTCCTGAGAGCTTCAATCTGTCCTGGACAGCTACTGATGGGATCTTCGAGACCTTTACCATTGAAATTATTGATTCCAATAGGTTGCTGCAGATGGAGGAATATAACATATCTGGTGCTGAACGAACTGCCCACATCTCAGGGCTCCCCCCTAGTACTGATTTCATTATCTACCTCTCTGGAATTGCTCCCAGCATCCGGACCAAAACCATCAGTGCCACAGCCACCACAGGTACACGTGCAACTCTCCCGTGTCCAATACCTCTCTCCACAGTTTTGCCTGCAGGCTGAAGCGATCCTCCTCTTAAGCCCCGGGAGTACAAACCACAGTACACTAACCTTTCTATTTAACCCAACTCTCTCCCAACAGCAGTCCCCATGGTGGATTTTCATACAGCGGTGCACCTGATTTATCACTGAGCAGAGCATTTGTGGTATAAAAATGTAATTTTACATTGCTATATGGAATCTGGAAAAAAGAATTCTCCCCTTCAAAGCCCTAATGAGAGTGGTCCTCAGATTGGGAAGATGTCTACCTCAGTCAAAGAAGTTTTAAAAATTATATTTTTGTGATTTTGTAGTATTTTTGTCTTCTTAGAGCCTTGAATCTCCTCATAGGAGGTAGCCACACTACACAGATTGCCCCAAATTCAATACTACTTCTAGGAGAAAAGATCAGGCCCTGATATTTTATCCCCAGAACATTGAATGGTTCCTGGCAAAAATAAAAATAGAGATGGTCATGTTTCAACAAGGAGCTTATTTAGAAAAGGATCTCATTTTGAATTTGTGATGCCTGTGGGTTTGTATCTGTGTGTTATTACAGCACACGTACGCAACACACACAAACACACACACATTCATTCTAAGGATTCTGTCATGTAGTAAAAGAGAACCCTATGTGAAGGTAAAAAGGAGACTTTGTCCTTTCAAAATATCATTCTTAGCTTCTTTTAGTCAGTGCCTTCTCTTAACAGGTAAACTAAATTATTACGTACTGGGGAAAAAGACATCTGTGAAACAAACACAGAACAACTTTTTCTTAGAGTTCACAAAGGGGTGGCCATTTGCTGGCAAATCCAAGAAAAGAGTTGAGATCCTAGCACCAAAATCATTTAACCCATGGTTGAGGGAGTCTGTCTTTATTCTATATGAGACTGCAAAGTGTTACCCCCACTTTGCTTTGTTGGCCCCCAGCAAAGGCACAGTGCCAGCATTATTTAGTTCCCAGCTCAGCTGATAAAGTATAGCAAATTCTAAGAGAGAAAAATAGTTGACTATATTTATTTAGCTCAGATTCGTTTTCAAGAAAGGACAATTTCCTTTTACTTGATGTTAAAACTACAAATGTTCTGAATTTAGTCTTGTGGGGGGGTAATCAGCAACATGATTTAAATTGGCACACTTTGATATTTTTTCTTCTCACTCTAGTAGCCCAACCTCTCCTTAGGCATCTCACTGTCTCAAATGTGACCTAGGGAAGTGTGGCCGTCTCCTGGCAAGCTTGGGAAGCTGCCTTTGATAGTTTTCTTGTAGAAGTTAGTGATTCTGACAACCCCCAGGAGACGGTGCCACACTCCCTGCCTGGGGTGTCCCACGGTTTTGTCATCGCCAACCCAAGCTTCTTCTCATCATACTGTCCATCTCCATGGGCTCGTCGGAGAGCAGCCTTCTCAGACCCTGATGTTCCAAGCAACCACAGGTTTTTTCCCATTATGGTTGTTCTCTCTCCACAAACTTCAACTGCCAACTTTTCCTCCCTCGTCTCACCGGGTCCTTCTCAGGTTTGATGGAGCCAACCAAGTCAAAGTTTGAAAACTTTAAAATGACCTTCACCCCAAATTAAGGTGCTTCAGTGCCCAACCTCTTTTTCCTAAATATCCACTCCCGTCTGGAGCTGCTCTGTTTGTATAAAATTAATGTGTCTTGCTTTGGCTGAATTTCTAAGCCATCTTCTCATCTGATCTTGAATAATCCTTTCCTATACTTCTCCCATGATCTTCTTTCTGCCTGTATCTTTTTAATCAGTTTGTCTGTGTCCTACTCCTAGAAATATGTGCATGCCATGTTTGATTCCTTCGTCCAAACAATCTAGTGTCTTTCTACGTACTAGAATTTTAAATAATGATTCTCCCAGCATGCTTAAAAGAGACACGAGCTCACAGTCTAAGAACTGCATGAGAAGACTCAGATTGCAACCTTGTTCTTGAGGTTTTCATTTGTCTGGATTCCCTACAAACAGACTGGTCTTTTTTGACATTTACTGTGTCAAGCGTGTGTTGCCATCCACTAATAGCTGTTTAAAAGTGTCAAAATTGTCTTTCCATTCATCATCTTCTACAAATCTTGGTGCATGTGGTAAATATTCAGAGCATTAATATTTTCAACATGTCTATCTTTCCTGAAAGCAGACAGCATCTCAAAGAATTGTTTCTTTGGGTTAGAAGGGTTAGAAGTGATGGGAGAAAAAAAATCCCTTCTTGCATGAAGCACATGCTAACTAGCATTTTCTCTTTGAGTTTTTTCCTTGTATCTCATATTTCAGTTTAGTCATATCCTCTGGGGAGTCGGGTGAAGGCAAAACTGACCTCGAGTACTTAGGTCTTATTCTGAATGGTGAATGTGTTCGCAGCATCAGTCTTTTTCTACCAGCATAAAAATAATCTCAGCACACATCTTTTATGTGGGAGGTTGCTTCTTTAACAAAATATATAGAGAGAACAGAATTCCATTGGGAAGATTTTATCATTTATGCTTTTGAAGAAAAAAGGTACAGCATCATGAGCTTTGCAAACTAATTAAGACGTCTAAAATTCCATGTCATTGTATATGGCTATATTCTATTTCTGAACCAGACATTTGACCCCAGAGACTCTAAAACATTGAGTTATCCTGTGCAAATGTGCAGTTAAAGTTTATCCAATGAGACTTTTCTTTCCTCCAAATACTGTAGCTGAAGTAAAACAACTCCCAAATTGTAGGGAAAAATAGTCTGCCTCTTGCCAACCCTAAACCCTGCTCCACATACCACAGTCCTCCAAAACTCTTGCTTCTCTCTAAAATATAGTCTGGGTTGAACTTCACTTAGTATTAGTATTCAATGATAAATGAGCATTTAGAAGACCAGACTCATACACACTCTGGTTGAAAAAGGCATAATTCCCCTTACATTAAATGAGTTGTCTAGACTTTAAGGAGGAAAAAAATTTTTTCTTTATCTTTCCAAATTAATTAATACGTACATTTCCTAATTGAAAAAACACGTTGTTTAAATTCAAAGGTCCTCTGGCTTCAGCATCTACCAGGATTTGTTTAAGTCATTTTCATCTTTATAGTATTTAGGGTGAGATACACATTTTTCTATGATGCATATATTTGCTAAATACCACTAAAGAATTTCTCATATATGGATGCAGTCTTTAATTTGCACAATCCAAATAGATCAAAGTAAACTCCAAAGGGTGTTTTCTAAAACATGCTTAGTGAAATACTAACCCCTTGAGATGTTCAAAGAATATTCGAAGACAGGGTGTCATTGACCTGTGTCAAGTTCATGAGATGTTGGGCTAAACAAAATTAAACAGATTTATCCACAGAAACAGCTCATCAGAGCTTTCTAATGCAAGCATGCTCTGAGAATCGCTAAAGTGAGGAAAATGTCTTTTCTCGGAACATCTTATAGGGCTAGTTCCCCTTTACTAACTTTGGAAAATGTAATTGTACCTATCACTCTAATGGTGTATTCATTTTTTTAATAAGTGATTAGCATATGGTCACGCTTATACCTTAAAAGCATACAAATCCATACTTGGGTAAAAAGCAATATATTCTGTTATAATCAGCATGGTGTTGACATAGCCCAAGATACTATCTTCTCTGCAAACATTTGGAAATGCTGATGCATTCATGTTCTATGGCAATAGTCTGCAGAAATCTGCTTCCTCTAATCATGTCTCTCTTTTTGTCTCTGTTCATGCTCCTCCCCCCTCAGACTCAGAGCCACAGCTAGGCATGCTAATCCTAGCAATGTTACTCCTGACAGCTTCAACGTGTCATGGACCACTCAAGCTGGGCTCCTTGCAAAGATTACTATCCGTGTGAGCAATGTTCACTCACTGCATGAGTCCCGGCAACTTAGGGTCCCAGGAGACACACAGCAAGCTCACATCACAGGCCTGGTGGACAATACTGGCTATAATGTTAGTGTGGCAGGGACCACCTGGGCTGGCGAGCCCACCAGGCCCCTTGCTGCCTTTGTCATTACAGGTATTCAGAGAGTCTCACTTGTCCACTCAGAATCATGACCCAGGGAAAGGGAAAAAAGGAAATAGGCATTGCAGAGGAAAAATCAAACCAAAATATAGGCTTCTCTCCAAATGTAAACTTCTCTCCTTTTATTTTTAACTAGAAAATATAACAATTGTATATATTTATGAGGTACAGAGTGACTTTTTAATACATGTATACTCTATTTAGATGAGTTCAACTTCTTAGATTCCCCATATAAGTGAGATCATGCAGTACTTTTCTTTTGGTGCGTGGTTTTTCACTTAGCATAATGTGCTCCAGTTTCATTAGGATAGTGACAGATAACAGAATTTCTTTCTCTTCTAAGTGGTCTGGTACCCCATTATGCGTATTTACTGTCATTTCCTTATCTGTTCATCTACTGATCAACATCTAGGTTGCAATGCAAAATTATTCACAATATCCACAGTATCACATGTGAACTTCTGAGGGAAAGTGTGGCTAGTCCTAGAAGAGAGAAGTCCCTGACAGTCACTTTAGGAAGTAGAGACAATGATTTCAACAGGGAATAAAACTTTCAAGAATTTTTTTTTTTTTGGCCTGGTTTTATAAGCTGCTTTATCCACAATGTGGCGATTCAGTCTAAAGAGTGAATTCTAAATTAGTAAAGGCATGGGCCAGGAATTTTGTCCATAAGTCATGCTAAGTAAAGGCAGTTCAGTAGCAACCTACCCCAGACATATAATAATCCTTTTCCTTAAAAAACTTATTCTTCAATTTCAAAGTACAAGAGATTGGTAACAGTTCAACCTAGGATGGCAGGTATGTTCTAAGATTAACTAAATCTTACCCATTTATTGAACTTGACTTCTAACTTCTCCTTGAACTACATAAGGAAATGGTTGCCTGTCCTAACACAATCACGAAGGATGCAAGTAATGTCAATTTACCAAAACCTTCAGGTTGAAAAACTTAAAAAATATTTAGAAGTCTCTTATCTTCCGGGAATGGTAACTTTCAAGAGACAGACTTTGCCATCCGACTTTCACATTGAATGAGTCTCTTCCGGTGTCTAAATTGAGATATGCAAGATATATCAATAAGTACAATTACATATTTGTGTGGAGACAATATGATGTTCTAGAAGAGTGAGGATTTTGTGTTTCATCCTCTCCACATCTTCTTAGCCAAGTACCCTTGGCAAGTTCCTCCTCTCTTTAATTACCGCTTCCCTTCCGCATGGACTGGAGACACTCGCAGTGTCTCTGGCATGCTATCTGGAGATAAAGCCAATCTGATGAAATGTACCTGCCCGGCATAAAAGGAATATTTCACAGATGCTTGAGCATTTCTGCTACTGGCCAACAATATGAGAAAGTGGTGCTGGTAAAAGCAATCAACACAAAAGTGTTCTGTGGTAGAATGCTTGCCTAGAGTGCACACGGCCTTGGGTTGTATCCCCAGTTCTGCACATATAAATAAATAACAACCTTAGATATAAAACTAGAGCTGTGAAATCATGATTTTCCTATTATTTGTAAGGGAATGTAGGATATATTTTAACATAAGATTTAAAAGTGCTTGTTTTTCTGCCCACTTATCTAATGCGAGCGAAACCATTTACACCAGCCTTCCTCCTCATTTCTTAAGGAGGCTGGGAGTAGTAGCTATGAGATGAGCACTTGATTGCCTCCAAGGAGGGGCCTGGCCCCAGATCCCACAGGCCCTTACTTGTATCCTCCAGCAGGACCTCCCACAGAATAGACAGAAGAAAGGGAAGCTGAGAGAGCTGGTCTCAGAATCCTAGATCCAGTTACAGCATTGTCTCTGCTAATCCATAATGTGAAAAGACTGTGCTTTAAAAGCAGGATATTGAAAAAGAAAAAAAAATGAACAGGAGGAACTTGAAAAAACAAGGCTTTGATTGACTAATTAGTCTGAAAGAATTCATTTTTGTTGGAATTAGCTGCTTTGGTGGCATGGAGGTGCAAAGAGGCCAGTTATCAAAGCGAGGCACCGCTTATCTAAACCAAAGCAAGCAACAGAATTTGAGACCTTTGTCTGGCACTCTGAGAAGACCTTTTACGCAGTATAAATGATTTCATTTTTGTCTTTGATAGTTATGATTCTTGGGAATTTTTTACATGGGAAAAAAATGCCTGAAAATAAACTCAAGTGCTTCAAAATAACTACAGGAAGTCCAAGCCAGGGCAAAACTTAAAGTGTCTGCTTAGGGAATGAGGGCATTTGTTCATTTATTCATTCAATCACCGAATACTTCTTTTTAAACATGTCTCTTTGCATCCCATGGATTAGTCCATGAGCATTAGTGCAAGGTCATTTGCTCTTTGAAAGTTTCCATTTAGCTGCAATAGAAAAGAAAGCTCTAAACTAGATGCCACTGGAATGGCCTTGGCCATGTAACTCGCATCCCTTTGCCCCTTTGATAAAAAATACAGTGAGCATCTTTTTATTCCAGAGAAGGTGCTGGACCCTCTCCACTCATCCTGCCCAAGTCTCGGGACTTGTCAGCACTGATGGAGCTTACTAATCAGATATTGGCTCGGGATATGGAAAGAATGCACAATTTAGAGTGAAGACACCCCATCGGAGCCTAGCTTAGCTCCCTGGTAGATGTGCAATCTCTGATAAGTTATTGTCTCTCTGTTTCCTTACATGATAGAGAACCTGGGGCCCAGGCAGGTAGTAATACCTACCTTACAATATTGCTGTGACTAAGAAATAGTAAAAAAAAAGGTGAGGCCTCCTCAACTGAGAAGTATTGATGGAATCTGAGGTGACATAAGTTTGCTCCTTTAGGTCTCCCAGTCTGAAAAGACCCCTAGGCAGCTGGGAAGTAGATGTACCTGGAACACAGATCTTTGGTAAATGAATGGATAAAGGATAATGGTATATGTCCTTGCTTTCTAACTTTATCCAGGAAAATAAACTGCAAAACACTAAGCAAACCTTAAAATTCTTCACTGGGCCATAAACATAAATTGTTAATTTTTATTAAGTTAAAAAATATCTTACTGCCTCCTCTTTTCTTTGCTAATGAGGATGTGTTAGTGATTGGCCTGATGGACTTCATTCACAATATGAACTAGAAGTGAGATATGAAGTATGCTGAAAGGAAAGTATGTTTGAACAAAAAAGCAGTTTGATTCAAAACCCAAAGTAGATAGAGGTGTCCAAATCCAACACAAGATGTCCTTTTTGTATGGAGAGAAATATGTGGGCTCTGCAGTCAGACTCAGCTAGAAACTTTGATCCATCGCACACTAGTTTGGGACTTTGGCCAAGTCAATCAACTTTTTGAAACTCAATTTTCTCACCTATAAAATGGGAATAGCACCTATCCCTGAGGTGTGCAAAGAGTAATATACTAATGACAGTATCTGCCATCTAATAAGCTCTAGGTCAATACTCCTTCTCTGAATATATAACACACTGGGTGATTTATTGGGAATCCATTAATGTTCTTGGAAACTTGTGCTGTCCTAGCAAAGTCAGTGCAGCTAACCTGAGTTATTTTTACCTTCCCTTCTTTCAGAGGCCTTGCCCCTTCTGGAAAACCTAACCATTTCCGACATTAATCCCTACGGGTTCACAGTTTCCTGGATGGCATCGGAGAATGCCTTTGACAGCTTTCTAGTAACGGTGGTGGATTCTGGGAAGCTGCTGGACCCCCAGGAATTCACACTTTCAGGAACCCAGAGGAAGCTGGAGCTTAGAGGGCTCATAACTGGCATTGGCTATGAGGTTATGGTCTCTGGCTCCACCCAAGGGCACCAAACCAAGCCCTTGAGGGCTGAGATTATTACAGGTATTTCAATTCAAGTGAGCCATACTCCCCTTTCCTGGTCCCTTCCATGTGGTCTGTGTCCAGGATCACCATGACTTTAACATCTTTGTTCATCTTCCCTGCTTTCTCCATAGATGTGGCCTGTTATGTTATCCCCCACAATCCTTTTGTCTTATGTATCTCATGAGCACTCCCCATTCCCACCCCAGAAATGAGAAGGTCGAAATGTTTCCATTTGTTCCCCCAAATTCTTTAGTTCATGTCTTGTCCATAGCTCCCAGGTGCTTACTCCATATCACCTTCCCCTGTCTTCATCCTAGCTGATCCCAGCTACATTTCAGCCTTCTCAGAGGAAATATACCAATGAGTATATTTGGAAAATGTACTTAAAACTTTTATCATCTCAAAGTATCATCCATGATCTTAACAAACTTACCCCATGGGCTTTTTATTGGTACTTTTAAAATTGGTAAATGCTAATATCAGAAAGATCCTACAACAAAAACTAAATACATCATTTTCTCAAGACTAATAATTCCTAGATAAATACAACATTAACACCTTTAATAGTCAAAACTCTGTGTTTCCCAAAGTCTTTCTAGAGATTACCAGCTCTACCAAAGATCCCACTTGATGAAGAAGTTCCACTTTCAAGTATAGGAGTCTTGAGTTAATCAGGATCCCTGATATGGGGCTTTTAAGACCATCTTATTGTGCATTGTGTATTTCCAGCAGGGCATTATGTCCCAATTTTCTTTGACAATGAATAGCTTTTAAGAAAGAGCTCTTCCTGTTTTGACCACACTTTGGGAAACTCAGCTCCAGACTTACCCTCATGTTGAGTTTTGTCTAGTTAAGGCAATCCAAGATGAACCCTGGGTCCTTCGTATATACCTCAAGAGGGTCCAAGCCTCAGTTCCATCATCTGAACCCTTATCTATTGGTTAAAATAGCACAGAACGAAAGTCAAACGAGAAAGGCAAGAGTAGGAACCTTCTTTAGCAAATCAGATCCAAGAACAAAGCAAAAAGACTGTAACAATTTTGAAAAGCCCCTTTTCTGGGGCTCCAGGGAAGTATAATCAGCAGAATCATCATGGGTAGTTCTGCAGATAATTAATGCTGGTTTATTTGTCTTTACCAAGAAAAAAAAAAGAAAAGGTCTTGCAGCAGATGGGCACTCAGCCACTGGAAGACAGAGAGCTAATGTAAACAAGTTACTGGCTTTGAACTTGTTTGATGATACATGGGAGGGACCAATGTTAATTCCAGATGTGGATTTATAGAATTGCTTTTAGACAAAACTCACAGATTCAAGCTAATGCTTGGCTTCTATTTTTCTATTCCACTTTTCCCCTCTCCTAGCCCTACTAGACTTGTTAATGTTGAATGATTTTATTTCTGTCTCTCAGGACACTTCTGTCTGTGAAGTCTGGGGCATCACTGCATACTGATACCCCCAACTGGAGAGAAGATTGCATGGGCTGCTAAGTGATGTTCTCATTCCTGCTTCTTCTACCATTTTCTCTCCCTCTAGAAGCTGAACCAGAAGTTGACAACCTTCTGGTTTCAGATGCCACCCCAGACAGTTTCCGTCTGTCCTGGACAGCTGATGAAGGGATGTTCGACAGTTTTGTTCTCAAAATCAGAGATACCAAAAAGCAGTCTGAACCACAGGAATTAATCCTCCCTTCCCCCGAACGTACCAGGGACATAACAAATCTCAGAGAGGCCACTGAATACGAAATTGAACTCTATGGAATACGCAATGGAAGGCGATCGCAGCCAGTCAGTGCCACAGCAACAACAGGTACTGTAAATAAACAGGAGAGTCTTTCTCATAGACTGCATAATCACAGGAGCTTTGGACACATACAAGCTTGCATTCAGATCCTGGCTGCTCCATGTTACCTTGGACAATGTGCTAAGTTTTTACATAAAAGAGCATGATGCTAATTACCCAATAAGGCTGCCAGGGTTCACTGAGATAACTCCTTTAAAGCCCATAGCAGAGGGTCTGACACATAGCAAGGGCTCTGCAAGTGAGAGCTGGTCACATGTGGTCTCCACTGCATCATCCTCATTGTAAGTGTCCTATTGTTTTAATTACAGAGACTCTTGTTCTTACCTGTTACCTGATGGCATTTTGCCCAGTGATACAATTTCTGGTTCTTTGACCAACCCTTTGGGTCACCCTACATGAGGGGCAGTGGAGAAGTTTCACCTGTACCTATGATTAATATTTATAAAATGCTCATGTGAATAAACAATACTGTGATCAGCAAGGAAGGAAAAGCTATCTGGCCAGGATGATGGGACAATTATTAACTCTCTGGGATACTTCTGCCCACCCTAAAGAGCATCTAAGGTGGGAAATAAAACCTTTTCCATATGAGCTGAGTCAGGAAGGGAAAGAAGATGGTTAATAATATGACTCATAATACTAAAATTTATGTGACTCTAGAGAGAAAAAAGGAAGGCTCATAACAAATGGGTAAATACTTTTAGGAAAAAGAAAGATACAGAAACAGAACCCTTTGGGACAGCTGCTTCAAAGAGAAACCGGGGTGGGGGGAGGTCCACAAAATCACAGAGGGAAAAGAAGAGAGACCTGAAAAGTCTATAGCTCAGCCTTTTCTGTTTGTGTGTGAAGAATCTATGTCCAGAAAGATGATATAACTTGCTCAAGATCACACAGATAAATTTGGGGTAGAATCCAAATGAGTACATATTTTATCCCTACTAAATATTAGCAAAGACAACAGATGACCAGTATGTGTTCATATGTGCTGTCTTGGGCAGATGTAAAGCCCCAAATTAGCCAAAATTCCCTAAACTTGGTGTAAAGATACAGTTTTATGAGGTTAAGCTTTAGGCCCTAACAAGCTCTAAGAAATGACCCACAGATTTTTGTAGTCACCATTTATAGAGGTAGAGAAAAATGCAGAATCCAGGCAGCAACTTAGTGAAAAGGAAAACCTTGCTCCTTCTGCACATGGCTACCCATTCCAGTCTGCAAGTTTGAGTCTCCTCCTCCTGTGGCTGCCCATAAAACAGATCAGAGGCAGAGCCCGACTTTGACCTCAGTTTATAAACACCACTCTTTAAAGTTTACTTCTGATCCCTAATTTTGTTTTGCTGATTTGTTTTTTCTAGAAACCCTCTAGTTTTAAAGCAAAAGAAGAGAATGAATAATCATGAGCTGATGACTTTGTTTTGTTTTTAAGAACAAAAGAAAAGGGTCTGCTCTTTGGCAAGGCGCTCCCTGAGATCCCCCTCTCTGGGGCCTTTTGAGTTCACAGCCAAAGAAAAGAGAAAGTGTGTGTATGTGTATGTGCACATGAACCAGTGTGTGTGTGTGTGTGTGTGTGTGTGTGTGTGTGTGTCCCCATGTGCATCTGCATTCCTGTGCTCCAGGCCTGGGAGAGGCCAAGAGAAATGCTCCAAGCACAGCAGACTCTAGCATCCAGCCCACTTCATCAGCTCTATGGTTTCCTTTGTATTTCCTTTGTAGTCATCCTTTCACCTGTGCTCTCCCACCTCTCCCACACCATTGTTAACCTTCCTCTGTGATGTCCCATCCCTCCTCCTTCTGATAAACAGCTGCTGAAACTCCTCCTTTAAGGACATTTCTCCCAAGCACAAGCTGCCCACCCTGAGTGCCCAGTGCAGCGGAGAAAAGAGTGTATCCTAGTGGTTAGTTAGCCAGAGGCCTCTGGGCGAATTGTTGGCTCTGAATATATTACTATCTCTCTGGCTAGCTCTTAAGCAATTTTCTTCCCCTCTGGACTGCAGTTTACTTGTCTGGAAAACAGGATTTGACCGAAAATCAGCCATGAGTTGAAATGAGATCATGAATGTCAAGGGTCTGATAGAATTTCCTTGCCCATAGTAACAGTATTAGCTATTATCATGTCTGTGAAGTTAATGTGAATTTTATTTTCAATAGGTTTCATAGGTTGGTACTGAGAAATTTAAAAGGATGTACACTGGAGTCACTGTTCAGCTGTATGACTATACCCAATGGCTCTAACTAGGCACAACTAACATTGCCATTTCTTGTCCTTCCAAAAATAGATAAAATTAACATAAGTTTAATTTCTTTAAACTCTTTTTGAAGAGCACAATATTTAATGTATTTTCATTCTTTCATGCTTTTCTGTGTACGTGTGTGCGTCATTTATTAATAGAGCTTGGAAATAACCACATACACATTATTTAGCCATCTTCTTACTGATGGGCACTGAGGCTATTACTTTTAGTTTTATTGTTCCTTTTATCTTCAGTTCCCGTGCTTGTACTGACTTCTTTCCCCTTGGTGGTTGAACCCACTTCCTTGCAACAGTCTTGCTCTCCCTTAGAGAGAAGTTCTTTTCTCCTACAGGAAGGTAAATGCCAGCCTATCTCTTGGCACCATCTTGAGAGTTCCCAGAGTCTGCAGAAAATGAGAAAGAAATCCTAGCCACTGGGTGAGATGACTTTGCCATTCTCTTCTGGAGGCTTCTAAAGCTCCCAGAGGGAGCTCTGAGTGAGGCCCAAAATGTTCTTCTATCCTGTCCTTATGCCCATTTCACACATACATTCCTGGAACTCTCTTCCACCCCTGAGGCCAATAGGGTAGGTGGTCAGTACCCCTTCTCCCTGTTCCCAGAACATGCCTGCACTCCTACCTTGCTCCAGCCTTTCAACTCTCAGTTCTAGTCCAGTTCAGATGAACTTGAAGCCATACCCCAGAGTCATACTTACATTGTCTTGGGGCCTGGGTCAGTGAGTCTGAAGAAACAGCTGCATGGCAATCCTCCCTTTCATATGACCCAGGCTCTTCATGCTCAACACAGCTTACTTAGACTTCCCCCAGGGACCATAAAGATGAAGCCACCAATTACAGAGCACATACTTTTCTCCACCTGCAGTTGGGGATTTCCTTGAATCTCCAAGACACAAGCAAAGAAATACCACATTAAGCTCATTTAGCAGATGTCAACATTGAAACTGAGGAGGCTGAAATACTTGCAGAGAGTAATGTCAGAATGGAAATCACACCCAAGTTAGTTCAACTCCAAACTTCTTGCTTTAAACCACAGTGCATATAGCAGCCATCCCCTTAATTTAGCACAGGAATGAATGCATATTAAATGTTTGATAAAACTATATTGAAAAGATAAATTTTTTTAAATTGTCAATTGCTAAATAGTAAAAAACATTTGCAATAGATTTGAGGAGGCAAATTTATGCAGAGAGAAAATAGAAATCCTTTTCAACCTCCTTGAAAGATTTTAGGAATTACAGATGTTTCCCTATTGGAAAGTTTAGAAACAATCCTTTGGAAAGAGAGACAAGAAGCATTGCCTTCGTCTCCCCAGTGTTTCAATATATGTGATTTAGTTCTTTACACTGCTATCTCCATCTACTATAGGGCTGGTGACTTATGGGCCCCATTAGCGGCAAAAGGAAATGGGCTAGAATCACCTAGAAAGCTCTGTGCCACAAAAACATCATGCCCATTGTTGCTGGATTTCCACCACTACTATGCTGTTTCTCTAAGATCTGCACAGCCATCTTCCTACTCCCACTTTTACCATGCAAATCCCTGGAGTGGGTAATAGATGGGGTCGTTAGTTATGGTGTGAAAGTTATCACTGCCATCTTAAAGGTAAAAAAAAAATGGGGTCTTGGAAAAGAAAGCACTGGCTATAATACATGACTGATAAAATGTGCCAAGTACTATACCAGCAAGGTTTTCAGTCAGATCAAAAGTCAGAGTGAACCATGCTGGCAGAGGTTCACCTCTGGGCCTGAGTTTATGGACCTCATGGGCTCTTCACTCCGCTGGACTCAACTAAATCTTTCTGAAGTATTCCTTAAAGTTCAGAGTGGCCCACAGAAGAAAGAGTCACATCTGAATTCTTCGAGTGTGTCAGATGCCGTGCTCAGGGTTGACTTCCATTATCTCTGCTAATCCTCAAAACATTCCTGTGGGTGCATACTGCTTTCCCCACTGGACAGATGGAGCAACTAAAGTTCACAGAGTTGAAGAGACTTGCCCCAGGCCGCCCAGCACCCCAGTGGTATTTGGACAATCAAGATCTTGTAGGCTCCTGGGACCTTGTGGTTTCCACAGCTTTCCATAGACAAATGGAAAAAAACAGGCAGCCACAGGGTCTGGGGGTGGTTTACAGGTCACAGAAAAAAAGCTGTGGGAGGAAATAAATATCTTGGATGAGAGAAAAAGATAGAAATGGGTAGGAAAAAATAAGCACTGTCCCCAAATTTCTGTGGGTTTCCTAACTTAATGACTGACGTGGGTTGAAGAAAGGAAAAGATGCGGAAATTAGCTCTCTAGAGCCTGAAAATTGTTTCCCGAATTCTCCATCTAACCATGGCTGGCCAAAGTGGGCAAAAACATAAGCCAAAAAATACACAGAAAAAAATCCAGCGGAAACTGGCTTGGGGTGGGGACCACCAGGAGCAGAAAGTTCCCGCTGAGCATGAGTTTCCTCACAGGTCCAGTAGTACTGACTGTCCAGGGGTTGTTGACTTTAGTGATGGCCTGGGGTCGCTCCCTAGCTTTGGATCTCCTTCAGTCCCTGTAGTGGATTGTCAAAGTCCCTGCCTGTGTGCCCATTATTTCCATGACCCCAGGAGATACTCAGCTGCCCTGTCCTGGTACCTAGAAAGCTCACATCACATGAACGTTGAAGAAAAGAGCCTCACCTGGGTTCTCTATTCAAGGACTGCAATCATACTTTCTTCTAGGGGGTTTCCATATGAGGATTCTACTTTCTATATTGCATATTAGCTATCCATTTTTCAAGTCTTTGCATTATTTAATAAAAGGAAATAGAATGCAATGATTTGAAAAAATGTTAAAAAGCAAAATAAAAAAGGAAACACATTTAGATCTGTGAAACCACTCTCTCTTGCCTCCTTAGAAGCCAAATGAAATGTTAATATTCTGCTTGGTGAAACCAAATGACTGTACAACTGGGCCCTGTACCTGGAATGAAAGGGCTGTTGTCTCTGTCAAGTCACACAGGTCACACCTTCTCCATCCTAAAGGCTTGGCTCAGACATCAACTCTAGGCACTAAATTTTCTTAGATGAAGGATCCAGGAAAAGCCATTGATGGAAAAGATAGTTAACCATATCTGGGTTTTCTCTTGTGTTTTCTCCCTGACAGCCATGGGCTCACCAAAGGAACTCGTTTTCTCAGACATCACTGAGAATGCAGCCACTGTCACCTGGAAGACACCCACTGCCAAGGTGGAGAGCTTCCGGATTACCTATGTGCCCATGAGTGGAGGTAGGGGACTCAGTCATGGAGTGTGAGCAGGGATCATGGAGGGTTTGTGCATGAAGTGAAAGAGACCATGATTATCCCCAAACATCATGGCCTTATTTTTGAGACCATCTGAAGAGATCCCATTTATAAAGTTTTATAAGATCCTTAAAAGAACCATCCTTGGGAAGGATCCTTTTATGAAGATCCTTTCCACCCATGAAATTCTAAAATCCTATGAGAAATTCATCCACAGTGGGGTTTTTTTAATACAATTATGAAAGTCTGTGTACGGTGTCCTTCCCTCCCTGAACACACTGATCTTAAAAGATAGTCTTGGCTATGTATGAGATTTTACTGTTAGATGCCAAAATCTGTCTCATTATAGAATGGGAAGTTGATACCTTAGCAGAGTTGTGAATTCTAGCTCAGAATGCAGTTCTGTGACAGCGATCTTGGGGGAAAAAGCACAGTGAAATCTGTCTAAAGACATTCTAGCAGCGGGTAAGCTCTCTGTCACTTGAGGTATGTAAAGAGAGGCTAATTGGTGACAGAAATGCTGATGTATCTCCACGGAGAGTTTGGCCAGCTGATGTGACCAGGCTTTCACCACCCCTGAAATTCTTTTATTCTGGACTTGCTGAAGAAAATAAAGGCAACAAATTTGAATGTGATCATCTTTTTATTATAAACAGAATTTCTGCTAGTAAGAAAGTGAGCCAAAATAATGGGTAAGTGTTTCAGATGTACATTACATAGTGAGCTTTCCATATACTCTGTGGGGAAAAATAATAAAGAAAATAAAATTTGCACAACATGCCAGCTCTCTACTGAACAGAAATTTGCCATTTTTAGTACATTGTGACTTCACTTTTTTCCTCTCCTGGCTTGGTTTTTGGCATCCACACCAATGGAAAAAGCATTATATAAAAAGTAAGGCCTTTTCTATCATGCCAGAGGGTGGGATAAAATGAGAAAAAGCCAAGTAAATGGTCCTGGGGAAAGATACCATTTAATTTCTAAGTGGGACACACACGCCCAAATGCATGTCCATGAGGTTTGCCATTACAGACCGACCGTGCCTTCTCTGTGTTCCAGGGATGCCCTCTATGGTGACAGTTGATGGGACCATGACAGAGGCCAGACTGCAGCAGCTCATCCCTGGGGTAGAGTACCTTGTCAGCGTCATTGCCATGAAGGGCTTTGAGGAAAGCGAACCTGTGTCAGGGTCGCTCACCACAGGTATGTTGAGTCGGGGCCTGGTTTTTCAGAGATTCTCTTGCTCATGCTCCTTTATTTCTCATTTTCATCAGCAGCAGGGAGGAAAGTTTATTTATGAAATCTTAGTGGAAAGAGAATTGGATTTCAAGTGCCCAAAGTTCTCATCCTGACCATCCCTGGTCTCAGATGACCTAATGAACCTTAATCTCCTTAACCTCCCAGGGCCTCTACTTCAACTGTTCTGGGAATCAGATGACTCTAATACTGACCTGGGTTGAAATCCCAACTATGCAACCTACTAGATTTCTGTATAAGCCATCTGATAATTCCTCTGCATCCAGTTTCATGCTCTGTAAAATGGGTACAATTCTTCTTCCCTTGTAGAGTTCTAAGAATAAAGAATAAAAATGAGTGGTTTTGCAAGTTCAACTGCCACCTCCTTTCTTCCTCCGGTGCCTGGAAGCACCTTGAGGAACTTCTGAGCAGATGGTTCACACAGACCTGACAGGGAGAGTTATAAACTAGCTGCTGTCTATTTGGTAGCTCCTGCATTCTGGGCACTGCTGCTGCACCCTTTAATCCCTATCGTTACTACAATTCTCCTTTTACAGAGGAAACAACTGAGACTTGGGGAAATTACTAAGCTACATAATTATCATTTACATAATGTTGGAATGAAATCTGAACACAAGCCATTCTGCCTACAACTACTGTGTTCTTCCAAAATGAAGAGTCATTTCCCTATTGAGACCTCAATTGTTCAGTAGGCTGTTGAGGGGAGAAATAATGAATGTCATTGAAGGAGAATAAAGTGGAAAATGTCTCTTCAGACAGCTATGTCTCTAAACAATTTATCCTTTGAGATATGAGCAATTATCCAGTCCAATCTATTAAAGGATCTAAAGAATGGGTCTCATAGGAAACATTAAAAATATCTTAATCATCTGAAAGAGTTGATAATACACAATTAAAATGTCCCATCTGAACCCAGAGTCCTATCCACCCTACCACACAGACCTTTATTCTTCTAAAAGAGTCTTTCATTCATGAATTCTTCACAATGACAGATCCCAAAAGCTGGGTATGTTTCCTCCCAAGTCCCCATTGCCCATTGCCATCCTCAGTTAAAGTGTATTCTGTACATGTGTGATGATGAAACAGGAAGGAACTCACAGCAGACAATGGGAGCTCCCAAAATGTTCTGACCCACCCTGACTCTCAAGCCAGTTATTTCTTCTCCTGAGGCTCAGGTCCCTCACCTGTGACATGAGCTGATGACAGCTGCTCTCAACATTCAAGGCTGCCATAGGGTAATTGAATAGTAAGAGCAAAAGCAGGAGAGAAGTAGCCTATTCTGGTTGGATTCCAAGAAGGGAATACTGGATATGGAAAGGGGCCAGTTAGAAGAAGGAAAGGATAAATACCCGCTTCAATATCCTTTCTCAGTGTACGTCATTTGAAAATCCCACTTAAGATTCCAAATAATTTTAGGTGACATATTAATGATGACTGCTGTTGCTGTGAGCTTCCCTAGCATATGTGACACACACTACCCAGTTAATCCTTATTTCAACCTCCCTTTGACAACTGAAGAAAGTGAGGTCAGAGAAAGGGGAATGACCTTCCTGGGCACAAAAAGGCACTAGGCAGGCAAGGAAGCCATGGTAGAATGCCGGACCATTAGCCTCGAGCCTGTAAAACACCTAACCAGAGAGATCACTTAAGCCCAAAGCAGCCTCCGGCAGTCTCAACTGTACAAGTGTCCTCTCTTTGTGTAACTTCCTTCCATTGGAAAGGGAGTATGAACAGTGATTATAATCTTTATCACATGTTCAGCACCTTTGACTTTACATAGCACTTTTCAATCCAAAATAAATATGTGAAAATCAAAATAACACTGACCAGCATCCTGAGGATGGAGCAGCCAGATTCATCATCTCCATTTTAGAGGTGAGGAATTAGAGGGCCAAGGGGAAACCAGTCAGCAAGGAACAGAATTGTGACGTAAAGTCAGGCTCAGGACTCGGAACCCTTCCACACACCAGACAATGTGAATTAACATCAGGACTGTAGATGGTAGAGCAGCTCTGGTCTGATGTTCTCATCCACTGTGACCAACCCCTCTCTTACCATCTTTCTTTGCAGCTCTGGATGCCCCATCCAGCCTGGTGACAGCCAACATCACTGACTCTGAAGCCTTGGCCATGTGGCAGCCAGCCATAGCCACTGTGGACAGTTATGTCATCTCCTACACAGGGGAGAGAGGTAAGGTCTGGCCCGAGACTCTTCTCACTCCAGGAGTGTGGGTCTCACGGCTAACTTTTTCCATTCTCCCTTCTTCGTGCTGCACTTGGGTACAGGATGACAAAAATGCATGGGTAGGTGGAAAAGCTAGCAATGTCCCTGTAGTTCTCACTTGCAACTTTAACAGAGTATTGTAGACTATGCAAAAAAAAAAAAAAAAAAAA